AGCCCGATGCGGGACTCGATCCCGGGACTCCAGGATCATGACCTGAGCCGAAGGCAGTCGCTTAACCAACTGAGCCACCCAGGCGCCCTAAGCTCCATTTTAAATACAACTTAAAGGCACAAAATTTAAAGGCGGTGTCTGCCTGGTGACCCCCAGTGTCACCTCCACAGGTGCCTGACTCACAGGACACAGAAAAGAGGTGCTCCTGCCTCTTTTCCTGTCTTTTAGCCACTTCCAGTGAAGGGACACCGGATGCCCAGTCTTCTCTCCACGGGGCCACCCTCAGGCATTCTCCTCAGTGGGGGAAGAGAAGATCCTCTCACTGGGACCCTGGGACCCTGTCTTTCTGACGCCTCTAAGATGTGAGGGCTCTGACCAGCAGGTGTAGACTTCTCTGGAGGGACACAGGAGCAGTTGAAAACCTGGAGCTCCGCCATCCCTTGCCCCATCTCATGTCCCATCCTTGCCCCCACTGGCCTGGAACATGCCTGGGTGGTGGAGGTTAGGGCCGGCACAAGCCTGGACAGGGCTCAGACCAGGTGAGTTGGGTGGGGCTTGGGGGTCAAAGCTGGGCATCTGGGCTGGTGTCTTCCCGGTCACTTGGGGTATCTGTTTGGATCCAAGAGAAGTGTACTGCGGAGAAGCTGAAGAGCCCGGACAGCCCCCAGACCAGGTCACCGGGAACTCAGCTTGGGGGTTTAGAAGAGGCCGAATCTTGCTTTCTTTGGAGGGTTCTGGCAAGTCTGGAGAGCGACCTGAGGAGACGTCTTACCCGGCGCCTGGATGCCGAGTTTGGCGTTCTGGCCACATCTTCCCACGATAGGCTGCGGGTGGGGCCTCGAGGCCACGGGAGGATGCTTGGCTTCTGTCTGGGCCAGTGTCTTCCTGGCAGGCTGGGGAACATCAGGGGAGACAACGTCAGGCCTGCTGGCTGTCAACTTGGCAATGAGAGGCGGGTCCTGGCAGGAGCTTTTTAGAGCTTGGCAGGGCAAGTCCACCCCACACCTTTGGGCTGGTTCACAAGCATGCACTTCCGGGGCTTTACTGAGAGGCAGTGTAGACCGCATGTCAGGTGTCATGACTGGTGGCTGACCTGTGGGGACGGGGCCCAGGACAGATGGCTTAGTATTTGTTTGGACGGGCAGTGGCCTGGTGGGGCGCTGTGGGAGAAGGAAACTCGTGTTAGACCCTCAGGACTCACAACTCAACCATCCGCCACACAGGACTGATGCATTCAGCCCTATCACAGTAGAAACTGGAAATCAGAAGCAACGGAGGACAAAGGTAAAACAGCAGACTCAGATAATAAATAGGGGGAAGTAAGTAATACTCAGGATTTTCTCTACATCAGAAGGAAAAAAAGGAGCAACCCAATTTAAGCAGACAGCACATACAAAACTAAACATCACAGCAAAAGATCTGCAAACAGCCATCACACATTTGCAGAGATACGCTCCTCAGAGGTGGGGGGGGACAATTACAATACCCGTCTAGTTTTTGTTGCCTATCAGATATGACAATTAAAACTTTCCTTATGCCGTTTGTTGTTAAGATCCAGGGAGCATACAACGCGCAGAGTGTAAATGGCAACCATCCTTTTGAAGGGTAATTTGGGAGTATTTACAGAATTTTGAAAGATGCCTCATCTTGATATAGGATCACAGAAGGCATCTGATATAGAACCGTTCGCCTGGGCACAGAAACGCCTCCACAAACACTTGCCGGCCAGACTTGCACAAAATAGAAAAAATACGTGCTTCAAATAAAGAAACTGGAATAGGAAAAATACGGAGGAGTCCTAGGCGGTCCCTCCAGGCCAGCCCGGGTTTGAATGTAACCCCACACACCCAAGCGGCACAGAATGAAGCGGAACGCAGATGGAGGCCTGGAGCAGGGAAGCAGAGACTCACCCTCAGGTGGGCACCCACGTCCGTGGGCTCCTTCCCGGAGCTCTGCTGCTTCTGTGGCCGTCTGACGGGTGGTCTCAGTGGCCGAGCCTCCCTCTTCTGCTCTCCTGGCCTGCAGAGCAAATCATGTGAACTGTCCGGACGCCCCTGACCTTCCTGCCCACACAGAGACCGGGAACCAGGAACACTCCTGGGGCCCAGACCTCGCCCTTGTTTAGGGGAAAGGGGGGCTCCACTGCCCACGAATCGCTCTGACCCTGTGATTCTGCACCTCTGTCTTGGTTCCCTCCTGCTGTCCGTCCTGTGGAAGGACCCTGGGATCTGTAAGTCCTGAGGCCTCTTGGGTTCCAAGTTTTCATTCTTACTGGAGCCCAAGGGCTGGGGGGCAAGGCACCACGCCCAGCACTTCACGGGGCACCTCCTGCTGCTGGCCAGGTGCCTGAAGGCCCCACAGTTCTTGCACTTCACCTGCGGACGGAGGGAGAGAGTGCTCAGTGAGACAGCAGAAATCAGGGGTGGCTTTCAGAGGTTCATGTCAGGACAGATATTTGGAGTTGGATATTCGTTTGGGGGAGAGGACACAGACCCAGCGCCCATGTTCCTGAAACACTCATGCTCCCACTTACCCTGGTATACACCTCTTCTGGGGAGGGATTCCTTTGCCCCACTGGTCCCCTCTGTAGCTTCTTCATGTTCTGAGCAATAGGGGGTCTTGGGGGCCGCTGGTATATGCAATCCCCTGCCAGACCCTCGGGCTTCTGGTCTTTCTCCCTCAGGGACGGATTGTTGGATTCTCTGCTCACAAGAAAAGGACCAAAAAGAAAAAAAAAAAAAAATTACGTAGACACAGAGACAGAAGTCCCTCATACCCCTGCTTCTCTGCCTGGATTGGATGGGGGGCTCACTGATCACTAAGTACACCCACAGTGATGTGGTCTCTCATGAACTGATGTCCCATTCTGTGCCATTCTGTGACGTTTTTCCATCATTACTTACTCCCAGGATAGGACACTGCCTGAGAAAAGGCCACTTGGGCTATAAATGGTGAAATTAGATTTGCAACCTGAACGCCTGTCCAGGTCCTCCCTGAAAACATCAGTGTAACTCAGGCCGGCGACCTGGGTTTTCGTCCAGCCGCTCCCTCCAAGCTTAAAGCCTCGTCCCGTATTTATCAAAACCAATAAGCAGGGGCGCCTGGGTGGCTCAGTTGGTTAAGCGACTGCCTTCGGCTCAGGTCATGATCCTGGAGTCCCGGGATCGAGTCCCGCATTGGGCTCCCTGCTCGGCGGGGGATCTGCTCCTCCCTCTGATCCTCTTCCCTCTCGTGCTGTCTCTCATTCTCTCTCTCTCAAATAAATAAATAAAATCTTTAAAACAAACAAACAAACAAAAACCAATAAGCAGGCCAACAACTAGTGATTCTTTCCCTACCGTTTTCCAGAAAACTGTTCCCACAGATCAAGATCTCGCCGAGAAAACCTGCCACTTCCTCTGACAAAGGTTTGCAGGGATTTGATGCGGTGCTAACGAACACCCGTGACACTTCATACGGGACCCCCGTCACCAGGACAACAAGCGCGTTTTGCAGCAGGGGCACAAAGCCGCACGGGGACCCGCAACCTGAGGTTGCCGTGTCAGCTCACGAGGACGGGCGAAGCTCGCAAAGAAAAGCCCGGGTGACGGAGAGGGTCACGCAGGGCAGAAGCCCCCCGGCGGGTGTGCGCCCAAGTCCGCAGCCCACACCCGCGCCCCATAGGGAGGCCCCGCCCCCAGGCCCCGCCCCCGTCCCTCCGCGACGTTCGTCCCACCTCTCCTCTTGGTCTTCGTGTCTCCGCACAGCTGTGGGAGGCCGGGCCCCTGAAGGCTGACGTGTCCTGCTGGAGACACAGCGCGCACTAGGGTCCTCTCCCGGCATCAGGGGAAACCGCAGCATTACCTCCAGGGCGGCAACGACGACCCATTTCTCTGTCATCAAGTCAAGCTGACGGAGAGGAGAGAGGATCGAGATACAGTCAGAGGTCTGCACACGGCAGGAAGCCTTAGGTCGTGGAGGATCATAAACAGACTCCCAGGGGCGCCTGGGTGGCTCAGTCGGTTAAGCGGCTGCCTTCGGCCCGGGTCACGATCCCAGGGTCCTGGGATCGAGCCCCACATCGGGCTCCGTGCTCAGCAGGGAACCTGCTTCTCCCTCTCTCTCCCTCTACTTGTGCTCTCTCTGTCAAACAAAATCTTTTGAAAAAATAAAAATAAACAGACTCCCAATTCTTCGTGCGCTCTTGAACGCAGCGCTGATCAGAGAGCAAAGGCTCTTCATCCGGTTCAACAGTGAGTTTGCCGATGGCCTGCACGAGGGGGAGCTGTGGGTATAGGGAACGCCGGTGGTCCCCGGGTGGAAACCAAGGCCGCCACAGTCGCCTCTGCTTGCCATCTGATCACTGCACGTCCCTGTAATTGGCCAGCGCCCAAATATCCACGTTGCTAATCATGGGCTTTCACCCCGGGGCATGGTCATGGGAGGAGAAGCTGCCTCAGCACTAGACCGGGAGGCCACCTCCTTCCTCCTCATGTCGCCTGCCCAACCTCTCCCACACTTACGTCTCTCTGTGGAATCCCAAGCTGCTTTAAGAATTCTTTCCCCTGTTCCATCGAGAGCCTGGTGGGGTCCATCGGGGTTGGTCCGTCCCAGGGACTCTGTTGCCCTGTGGGGGACAGAAAATGAAACCACTGAATTCTGCACATCCCTGGACTCCCCAACGCACAAGGCGGCCTGCTCCCACCTCTCTGCCCGCCGCCGTCTCCCCTTTTACCTTTTGTTCAAACTACACCTACATAATCTTCTACTAGTAACACAGTACCAATTTGAATGAGAAATAAGGCAATGGATTTTTTAAAAATTTCTCCACTAGACTTAACATGTTTTATATATATGTGAAATGCAGATTCCATATTTAGGGACCTTATACTGTACCATAAAACACTTGGAAAAAGTGATCATGTAATTGGGTTCAAAAAGAAAATTCAATATATTAGAAAACTGGATATCTTACACTCTATAGTTCCCCTTTGTCATAATTAAACAAAAGTAAATATAACTACACTATTTAACTTCTTTATAAGATTAGGTATGGTCAAACTATTCACTACATTTCCAGAAATTCTGAAATCAAATTCCTTAAAATCAAAAATGAAATTCAAATGGAAATTATAGAGAAGGAAATAAAAGATCAAGCACTTTATGCCAAAACTTAGGAGCAGGGCAAAACCTGGTCCAGGGGGGAAATTCCTTAGTCTAAATGGCCATATTATATACAAATATAAAATTTATAGGAAGTGTTCATCTTAAGATATTATAGCGGGGGGCGCCTGGGTGGCTCAGTCGCTAAGCAGCTGCCTTCGGCTCAGGTCATGATCCCAGGATCCTGGGATGGAGCCCCACATCAGGCTCTCTGCTCAGCAGGGAGTCTGCTTCTCCCTCTCCCACTCCCCCTGCTTGTGTTCCCTCTCTCGCTGTGTCTCTCTCTGTCAAATAAATAAATAAAATCTTAAAAAAAAAAATACTGTAGTGGGGGGGGAAAGAAACTGAAGCAGAAAAACAAAAGATTACAAGAGGGGGGCGCCAGGGTGGCTCAGTCGTTTAAGCGTCTGCCTTTGGCTCAGTTCATGATCCCAGCCAGGGTCCTGGGATGGAACACTGGTGGGTCGGGCTCCCTGCTCAACAGGGAGCCTACTTATCCCTCTCCCCACACCCCACTCATGTGCTCTCTATCTCTCTCAAACAAATAAATGAAATCTTTAAAAAAAAAAAGAAGAAAAAAAAATGAAATTAGTTAATCAAAAACTAAATGGGATTAGGAGTACCTGGCTGGCTCAGTTAGTAGAGCATGCAACTCTTGATTTCGGGGTGGTGAATTCAAGCCCCACATTGGGGCAGAGTTTACATACATACATACATACAGAAATGGGACTAATGGGAAAACAGAGTATAATAGGAAAATACATTATTTCTTTGAAAACAGCAATAGAACACATTACCACAGACTGTCATAAAAGGATAGTAAAATTTATCATAATAGATTATATTAGAAGAAATGCTGTATGTAATCTTGAGGCAAACATATTTGAAAATCCAGTGTAAAGTACAATTTCCTCTTCGAATTTTTTTTTTTTTAAGTAAACTCTGCACCCAGTGTGGGGTTGGAACTCTCCACCTCGAGATGAAGAGCCACATCCTCCAGCGACTGAGTCAGCCAGGCGCCCCTCCTTCAAACTTTAAATGACCAAAATTGAGTAGCGCGAAGCATTTCCCAAGGACAAATTAAGGTAGGATAATTCTTGCCTCTCCGTTGGACTGGGAGCTGCTGTTTCATTTATGGCTTCATGATCAGGGCTCTGAATTTCAACCAGCTCCAAACAAGTTCTCATGAACACACTGGCATAAAAGATAAATTAATATAAGTCACTTACACTTTTTTAAAAGCCCTGGGTCTGGGTGATCATTCTCTGCAATGATCTAAAAGGTAACACTTGTCTAAAAATTAACATTTTTGAAATAGTTTTTGAATCAGGATCTACCCGAAGAAATTCTATTAAACGATTAATGAATCTTTAACACCTAAAATGGCCCCCTCTCCCTATTTTCTTCTATTTCTGTGAGGGGTACACAGAGGCCCCAAATAGTCGTGGAAACTAACCTGTGGTTTTGTGTCTGTTGGTGGCCACTCAGATATGTGGATCCTGGGCCAACTCCACTGGAGACAGAGGACTTTCTGGGATGACTGAGAAGGCCAGGTCTTCTGCTGGGCTTTTATACAGCTTGGAATCCCCAGGAAATCCCTTCCCACTAATGCAATCAGCCTAATCTAATCTTGTGTGAGCTCATCTTTGTGTGTGAGCTAATCTTTGCCTGCCTGCCCAGGATTGGAAAGGATATTTGCTTTATTGGAAGAAATGTTTTATTGTTTACATCCTCAGCACTTTCATTGTATCTCATGTGTATGTATCTGAAACAATACACTATAATTTGGTTTTTGCCATTCCCAGGGATTTGTAAAAGATACACATATAACTATATATTTTCTAACACTATACACAATGCTAAAAATGTTTATGCACATGTTGCTGGTGGGAGAGGTTGTGCATGCGTCGGGGCACGGGCTATGTGGGAAATCTCTGAACCTCTGCTCAATATTGTTGTGAGCCAGAAACTGCCCCAAAGAATAAAATCTATTTTTATTTATTTGTATTTATTTTAAAGATTTTGTTTATTTATTTGACAGAGAGAGACACAGCGAGAGAGGGAACCCAAGCAGGGGGAGTGGGAGAGGGAGAAGCAGGCTCCCCACTGAGCAGGGAGCCTAATGTGGGGCTCAATCCCAGGACTCCGGGATCATGACCTGAGCTGAAGGCAGAGGCTTAACGACTGAGTCACCCAGGTGCCCCTAAAATCTATTTTTAAAAAATATTTACGACTATGCCAACATACTGGCTGATTCATTCTACATCTTGCTACGGACGGGGTAACTTAGTCTCCCCAAGCCAAGGAGCTCATTGGCAACCAGGGCTTTGAAAACCGAGGTGAAGAATGGTTCTGTTTATCCACAGAATTAGAGCCCGCTTCAGCTGCTGAGAATGCCAGCAGGGCCAGGGTCACGCCAGATTCTGTCATGGCGCAGGCAGGATGCTGCTCTTCAACCCCCAGGAGACCTGGAAGCCAGGAGGCATCCCAGGCCTGGGCAGGGAGGGAGATGCTCTGCCATGGAGAAGGATCCCAGGAGGATTTCAGTATGAGGATGGAGTGGATGAAGAAGGAGATAGGTAGAGCTCAGGAGAGTTCTCAGGGAGGGTGTTCCCTGGGTGGGGTCTGCATTCAGGTGGGTTTCTCCACCCACATGCTTCCTGACTCTCTCCTAGGACTGGGGAGAGGAAATGTTTTGCACTTGGGAGTCCTTCTGCCGGTGGGTGGGGGGATGGCATGGAGAAAGGGTATATTGATGACTGCATTTCTCAAAATTCAGGTGTGATTTCTAAGATAATCTCATCTGAAGACAAAGCTCAGAGAATTTAGGAGGAGAAAGAGAAGGGGTAGGAGGAGGGAATGACTGGCTTTTGGGTAAATGTCCCATCCTGGACATAGAATACTGTGTTCTCTCTTCCTCTACAAACACTGTGTTTTTAGGCCTTGAAAACCTTTCCTTCTCTACCTCTGATGTTCCTGCCTAATGAGTTTTTAAAACCACTTTGTTCCTTTGATTTTCATTCAAGTGAAGGTCAATTCACTCAAAAAATAAAAATAGATGATTTTTGTGGTTTTATGCATTCTAATGTGAAAAGCATTTAGAATGGTTCCCAGTAAATGGTAAATGGTAAAATTCTTTGTTTTTGCTCTTCTCAAAACCACTTTAAACCCTATTATTTCTCTAAAATTTCTTGATTACGAAATCATTCGTGAAGTCCTTCCTTAGTCTCTTAATTCCCTGTCACTCAGGGTGTGAACCATAGATTGGCAATATTGGAATAATCGGAAATCTTCTGAAAATGGAGACTCTTGGGTCCCACCCAGCATCTTCTACATACATGTCTGCCATTTAACAAAATCTCCAGGTAATTATTTTGTACATGAAAATTTAAAAAGTACATTTCCAAATCACCCTGCTCTCTCCTGAGAAATAGACAACAATTACTCTGTACGATTAAAAAAAAAAGCTCTTAGATACACATGTAGGTGGGCAATAAATAGGTAGATAATCTGTGTTGCTTCCATGCCTGTATGTTTGTTTTTTTTTTAAAGATTTATTTATTTATTTGAGAGAGCAAGAATGAGAGAGAGTACATGAGAGGGGGGAGGGTCAGAGGGAGAAGCAGACTCCCCGCTGAACAGGGAGCCCAATGCGGGACTCGATCCCCAGACTCCAGGATCATGACCTGAGCTGAAGGCAGTCGCTTAACCAACTGAGCCACCCAGGCACCCGCCTGTATGTTTTTTTGATCTCCAAAAGTATCGTACTGACAGTTTAACGAATCTCATGTTACCTTCTTTCCATCAGTATCTAAGACTGAATTAAATAATGTTATTTTCCAAAAAAAGTGATTTTTTTAAATTAATCAGATCGCTTGTGTCAACTGAAATGGTTTGTACAACCCTCCCCTTTTGTCTTGGGACACATTAAGTAGTCTTCTCTTGAGTCATTGCCAAAAGTGTTTTCATTTCAGGAAATGTTGCCCTTCAGATTTTTATGTCTATATGAAATGGAAAGTGGAAATGCCTGGACTCCGTTTAACCTTAAGCTGAGGTGGAAACACTGTGTCCGGATTTCATCCTTGAGCGCTCTGCTATGCATAGATAGATCTGGAGTTTGGGACAGAAGCCTTATCTCTGTTCTCATCGACACTTCACCCTGCTCACACTGCTTCTTAGAAGGACGATTTTGTAATCTGTCCTGAGATTCCCCACCTCGGTTGTCTCCTCACTGCAGCATAATTGATTGTAAAGTGGGAAAAGGAAAATTCTGGCAGCTGAGAGGAGAGTTGTCTTACTTGACTATTCTCCATTTTACCCAAATTCTGGTTTCTTCAAGAAGCCATTCCTCTATAGGCAGCTGGGAAACAGAAGGAGGTGCTCCACCCCACACAGGATCCATCAGGCACAGAGTCCACCTTCAACTCAGCCACGGGCACGAGTCTCCTCAGAAAAAAACAGCAGTTTTCTGTCGTGAGAAGCACATACCTTTGGGTAGAGATACACTAACAGTGCAGACTGGAAACGAAAGTCTCAGGCTTGCATCACAGAGGGATGGAACCGTCATGAAGGAGTCTCAAGTATGGAGGCTGGAGCAAAAAAGAAGTGGACGCTCCCCTCACCCATCCTGGACCCACTTGACTCCTCCTCCTTCTCCAGTCTTGAAGACTCTCCACCTCCCGTCTTGTCATATCGTGCATAATATTTTATATTGACTCTATTTATTCCGCATGCAACCCCTAACATCACGGGGGTCTACCTTCACTCCATGGAAATCTTGCTTTATGATCTCGTCCTTTCCACAACCTTCAAGTTCAGAAGATTCACCGAGAGTTTTTTGACAATTCTCAGGGATCAATACTCTCATGATTTTCTCTGTTCCCACCTTACAGTTCCCCACAAAACCCATCTTTGCCTTATATCCACGCAGACATAGCCCTCAGCCCCCAGCATCGTCAACCCGAAACAATCCACGTGAAGACAAAATGAGTTAGTTAGCCACGGGGCCTTTATTAAAGACTCTGAAAGTGTGATGGTGGGCGAGGAATGCTGGCATCCCCAGCCGCAAGTTGTGTGATGAGTTCTCACAGAAGTTGTTTCATTCCCAAGGGCCTCCTCACTGCTCTGCCGTGAGAGTCCTTCGTTCTTCTCCCCCAACTACCCAGTGCCCTCACTCACGGCCCCCTCTCCTCTATACCGGACACTCTCTTGCCCCGTCATCTTGCACTGGTCTTCCGTTTTTATTTATTTATTTATTTACTTACTTAGTTATTTTTTTTTTAAGATTTTATTTATTTGTCAGAGAGAGAACAAGCAGGGGGAGAGGCAGGCAGAGGGAGAAGCAGGCTCCCCATTGAGCAAGGAGCCCGATGCGGGGCTCGATCCCAGGACCCTGGGATCATGACC